GTAACCTTGAAAGGCATCCCTACTTGAGGGGAGATCATTCTGAGCAGCCAGCTGCTAAGGAGGGAGGGCTCAACGGATCCTCCTGGCTGCACATGTTGTTAGCGTCAAGTGATCGGCTCGTAGTCAGATTTTCTGCTGTGTTCATGCAGTTTTGGCCGCTTATCAGCCCAGTCTGCGGCCAAACCGGTTTGTTGGTGTGAGGGAATATTGCGCGCAGCTACCCCAGATACCAGGCAACTTAGGACCCTCTCAGGAGACTATATCTCCGTTGGAGCAACGTGAAAAGGATCGGGAGCACAGGTGGCGGTCTCCTCTATCAGAGTCCAGTCAGAGGAAGGGGTCTGGGAAGGAGGAGACGAACCCAACGAGTGAATGCCTGGCTGCGTAGCTGGTGCCTAACTCAAGGGTTTGGCTTTTGTGGTCACGGATCTGCCTTTAAGAAGCCGGGTCTTTTGGGAGCTGATGCGATTCACCTGACCAAGTGGGGCAAGAGGGTCTTTGCCAACAAGCTGGCCAGACTTCCAAGGTGGGCTTTAAACGTGTGCTGGTCCCCCCGAGTTCAAGAAGTAAAAGCAGAGGAAGAACCTGTCGGTGAGAGCGATGGTCGCGGTCCGGTCGAGAGCGGTGGTCGCGGTCCGGTCGAGGTTCTGGTCCTCCTCCGGATCCCACGAGTGGTACCAAAAGTCCCAAGACCCCAAGATTATATACACTCAGGTTCAGGCAGGAATGCCCAGCACCTCCCCCAGAGCAGGGTGTTCCAGTGTGAGGACAGGAACATCCTCCTATCTCACAGGCCTCTTAACACCCAGCTTATAGCCTGAGGGGTCAGGTGTGCTCTGGGCAGCTGCTGCAAATGGTCTATTGTTAACAGTTTCTGGGAAATGACATAGAGGGTGTAGAATACAGAGTTTGGGTTACACCCACACAGTGATGAACTGGTCCCAGCTGCTCTAACTAGGACAAAATGAGACTCAGCAGGGAAAGGGGATGGAGTTTTGAGCAACAGAGAGGAGCCAGGGGCTGCTGATGCGTCGGGAACCAAGAGGTGAATACCTGAGAAAGGCCACAAAGGAATCGGGGCTTGATCCTCCGAAAAAGTGATGCGGTCGTGTTATGATCTGGTAATTAAAATTATGAGAAATGCCTGTGCCCGAATTAGGATGCAAACGAGACCAGATGCCAAAGTCAAGAGTATGGGGTTTTTTTAATGGTAAAGAGGCAGAGAAAGAGAGAGAGAAAGAAAGAGGATGGGGGAAGGAGGGGAAGAAAGAAAGTGACAGAGAGAGATTAAAAGAGAAAACGTATCACCACTCCGTGGAACCCGGCAGTGTCCCTTCGGTCCGGTTCTTCTGGTCTTCTCGATGGTCAGGGTCCCCCAAAACATACAGTCCAATGGATTACTAGATGTTCAGGAGATGCCAGACACCTCCCCTGGGGGTGGGGGGAAAGCTTTGCAGTCTCTTGCGAGAGGCTCTAGATTTGTTACCTCACATGGGTCACGTGCAGTCCTCTGGTGGTGGAAGGCCTCAGGAATGAGTTGGGGGGGGGGACGCTTCGGGGGTCTTTGATGGTTTAGGATCCCTTCTCAACTGCCTCTCACGTAAAGTCCCATGTGTACACGATCTTCCCGGAGTGGGGGGTTTTACTCCTTCAGTTTGTTGTGGAGAGATTTCCCCATCACACCCCCAAACCCCTTCTCCTCCACCACCCCCGGAGCCCAGCTCTCCCTTGCCCGGCTGGGAACGGGAGTAATAGAGCGGCTGGGTGGGCACCTGGCATC